TCACTGCAGCCTCAGGGACGGATGCAAAAAAAATAAGAGCTACAATTACAATGAACAGAAAAACATGGGGAAGAAGAAGTTATCTTCATCTTTGCGTATACTACATTTTTATTGGCCAATTCAATTGTCTATAAAACATCAGAAAATAAAAAACGTGACGTCTTTGAATGTTGTTTTGTCTGAGTCTTAAAAAACTGATTGAAGTCATCTAGTTTTTACTTAAATTATACATTTCCATCATTTAACTAAATAACTAGACGTCTAAACTCTAGTTGAAATAAAATGTTATTTTTTTAGGATCAAAGTTATAAAGTTATAACTAGTGGCGATTCAAAGTTAGCACTTTGAATCGCCACGTGCTGAAAAGTGCTATGTAAATAAAATTGCCTTGCCTAAATCTGACAGAAAGTTATTATTATTATAGAGTTATTAACAAAAAAATTAAATTACTTAAATTATAATCACATAAAACGATCTTATTGAATTGTAACACCACTATGTTGAACTTGATATTTTACATGACATGTACATCTCTTAGTGGTTGACCAATCACAACAGAGCCAGCCAGCTAACCAATCAGAGCAGACTGGGCTTTGGTTTCAGACAGAGGGTGAAAAGAGGTGCTGCAGCACAGGCAGGATGAGAACAATAAAGAGCTTTTTGAGCATTACAGCATGGAAACATGCCACAGCAGAGCACTAAATACAAATACAAAACCTGAAAATATGCATAATAGGGCCCCAGTGCATGTTTTTAGCACTTTCCAGTTAATGGCATCATTGTTTCTAAATGATTTCAAAATTATCTTTTGCATTATGCAATATGTTGTTATTTATCAGTTGACATCTACGGTAAACCAATATATATATATATCTAATATAAGCTAATCTTGGCTGGTATGCCAGCCCTGCTAATTTACAGATTCAATTGTCACAGTACGAGCACCACGAATAATTGTAACCTGGCCCTTATTTGAAATCAGTATAGCTAGGTTTGGTATTTCATCAAAGGTGCCACTGAATCGCACACACACAAAAATAAAGCTCCCACTGTACTGCTTCATGGAGCGCTGCATTTCCTTACAAATGGACTCCTTATTTCAGTGTCAGACCAACTCCAGAGTTCAATCCATTCATGTGTTTCCTCCTGATTGCAGTGCACAGAGCATGCACACACTGGAGCTCATAAAAGCGAGTTGCTGTATATCTCACACACCTCTCATCACGTTGCCATCAGCAGATCTCGACTGAGGGGAAAACAATAACATAGGAGAAGAAGTATAGTAGCGGCAGTAATGACTGAACTAGACGCAGAGGAAAACAATGAGGATCTATCTGCACATATAACATGAGAGGAGTTCAAATCAATCCCACAACACCGCCTATGAGCTGAGAGAGAGCGTCTGCGATAGCTGATAAGATCCATTTAAGGGTTAATACATGTAAACAGATTCTATTTCCAACCACAGACTCTAGAGAGCTTCTGCTTCGGGAATCAAACTATCAAATTAAACAGCATAACTCCCTTTATACATTACGCCACCATGTTATTTCTCAGCATGCTATGAATATGTTCAGCAGAGAGGCTTGCTGCATTGGAATTCACTTTAATTGCACTCTAATTAAGCTAATAAACAAACAGAAGCCTAGGGGGACGCAATGATATAACTGCATTTGGGAATGCCATTTGTACAGATCACAATTGTTCGGTCTTGATTAGCTTCTCGACCTGTTCGCATATTATTGGAGCACCCAGAGGTCGACATCCGGGACCCAGAGGGCTGCTCTGCTGGAGGCCTAATGAAATACTGCTCTCTGAAGTCCAGGATGTTTTTCAGCTCTTTCAGCTCTGTAGCATCAATCTTCATTATTTATTATTGGGCCTGCGGGATATTACTGAGAATAAAGCTGTTTATCTTTGAGCCGAAAAGAGACAATGAGAGGAATGGAAAGGGAGTTGAGGAGGAGGTAACAGGTTGCAGGGAGGAACTCACCCGTCTGACACCCGGTCTCCTTGAACTCCCACTCTTTGTCTGACTAGTGCACTAACAGCACTTTTTATTTTGTCGCTGAGTTAACAGTGCCAATAGTGTGATGTCTACTTCACAGAGAAATAAACAACACTCGATTCATCAGTCCATTCATGCGGTGTGATGGCAGGACCTTCTTTGTGTGGGCAGATTGAATTTGAAGCGAGCCTATTGTTATGAAGCCTCATTCCCATGCATGCTATTGTCCGACGCCTCCTGCCTGTGATTTAGACTGCTTCTCCAGGTAAGCAGGTGTCACGTCTATTCCTGAGGCTAGCATAACGCTTGGTGATCACGCTCCATAGATCAGACCAGATGTCCCTGTTTGAATGATAAAGAGCGCTTCCCATGGCATTTGTTACTTTTATCCTGGCACCAGATGACAAATAAATGACTGTGCTTGTAACGCCGAGGCAGGGCGCGCTGAAATGAGCACATACGCCGCTCGATAAGGTGAATCAGGACCCGGAGGAAGTGGAGCATTTAATTGCTCTGAAAGACGTGTCAACGTAGGCTGTGAGCGAGGCTTTGTGCGGCCTGCCATTTACAGTAAGATGATTATGAGGTGTGTTTCTTTGACATGGTAATTCCTTAAATAAGGAACATTGTTTATGTAAGAGCTCAGAGAATCAGTCACAGGGTTTGTTTGTTTTCTACATGAAGCCTAGCAGAACCAGCTACTTTGTGAGGCAGTCAAACCTCACAAGTGCTCCAAATTAATCAACAAAATACAGTTGTATTGAATCTTCACGGTTGCAGGTGATGCCTCTTTCCTCGGGATGACATTTTGTCTATGTCTCCAAAAATGTAGAAACAATGCATCTGTTTTCAGTGGTGGAAGAATTACTCAGATCGTAGAAGAAAAATAGGAACTCTACATAACTCTGTACAGCCCTGCATTCCAAATCCTATTCAAGTAAATAGTACACAAAATGTAGCATCAAAGTAGACTTTAAGTATGAGTAGTATAAATATACAGAATTAACCATTTGTGAATAACCTATTGCTGCATTAAAGTCATTGGTGCGTAAATGTGGCAGCTGGTGAAGGTTGGGCTAAGTATAGGAGCTGATGTTATAATGACCCTTTACTGCTTTTATAATAACTCATAATGATATATCACAATGTATTAGTTGATTATATATTGGGTTTTAATAATACAGATCTGCAAGGTAACTGATGGTTTAAAATGAATGTTACTTTGGTTAATATAACAACTGCATAAGATTAGGGGAGAAGAAAGGCAGTCTATATACTGTTGCAGCGTCTCAATGCTTCTTTATTTGCCTAATATGTCACTTTAAAGAGCACATATTATTCTAATTTTAAGGTTCATACATATTTCTATTTTATGCTCTACTGTGACATGTCCCCATGCTTTAATGTTCCAAAAGCTCTTTGTTTTTCTCATACTGCCTGTGCTGCAGCACCTCTTTTCACCCTCTGTCTGAAACCAGAGCCCATCCTGCTCTGATTGGTTAGCTGGCCGGCTCTGTTGTGATTGATCAACCTCTTAGAGATGAAGCTTGAGTGTTACATAGTGATGTCACTATGTTACAGAAGTAAACAAGGGAGTCCATTCGAGGAGTTTCAGACCATTGACATCAACTAAAAAACCTATTAAACACACTACAGGAAAGGGAACACTCAAAAAGCACAATAGGGCCTCTGTAGTGTAAAATGAGTTGCTTCAGTGGACAGGACTGAAAATACCGATTGCTGTCTCTGTTCTACAATATAAGAAAAAAGAAGAAGAAAAAAACATATTAAAGTGTGAGTTAGATTAAGTTCTCACGACTAGACATTCAAAAGCCCTCTGGGATATATATTCAATATGATTATTCTCTCTTAAATGAAGAAAGAAAAAAATGTAGGACATTTCCCTGAAGCAAGATTTTGTCTTCCATTTCATGTCTTACCTTAACAACGCTGAGGGCAATGGTGGAAGTTTTCAAAATGATAAAAGTGGAACTATCTCCCAGACATTGTGTACACCGTTTCTTTTTGCAGGGAATAATAATTAAAGAGTGAGTCATTATTATTTGGAAAATGATATATTTAAGCTGGTGAGGGAAGTTTTTAGGGTTTAAAATGAAATGAATCGGAGGTATAGGAGGAGGAAAAGAAGAAGAAATAGAAGAAGAAGACAAAGAAGTAGAAGAAGAAGAAACAAAAAGTATGTCTTCACTTCACACCCTTCAAATATTTTCTTTGCTCTCCTTCCTATTTTACTATTCAAAGCCATGCTAGCAAATGGATTACCTCATCCTCCTAAAAAAGCTGTTCCCTCTCTGTGATTGTATAATTCTCTTTCATCTTCAGAGAGAGGAGATGGCATGATTAAACAAAGAACTCGCTGATATGCACGGCTGGCGGCTGCTGCTGTTGCATGCGCCCTAAGATGCGCAACAGTTACATCAAAAAAATAATGTGCACTTCGAACTTGAATTGATTTTCTTTTATCGCGCAAAATGATCAAAACTGTTTTTTTGTGACATTTCTGTAAACTTTACTGAATATATCTGTGTAAAAGTAACAAGCGGTATCTGTTGAGCTCAGCAGGACTCTGGTTGTTGTCAACATGTTGCTGCTGTTGCTCAGTTTAGGTTAACAGCAGGAGATTTATGGTGCAGGAGAAAGCCAATATGGAGATTCACAGAACTTTGGACTTTGTAGTGGTAACACAACATGCAGCATATGAAAATAAGTTATTGTACTGCTGGTCACATACTGCAATATTAATGTAATTCAATTGGCTGCAGTCCTATGCAGATTTTCTGCAATGCTGTAGACTATAACAAATATTTTTGGGGGTCTGAGCCCGACACAATGCGCACACTCGATTTCTCAAGAGCGTTTTTCCACAAGGTAACTATCACAGCCAGTTTTCCAGGCCAACGTTTTGATGCATTGTTTTTGTTTAATCCCAGAGGGAAGGAGGTAAGGATTAATTTGTTGCATCTGTCAGACCCATGCTGGCACCGCTGATAGTGCCCGTGCCAGTATGAGGCTTTTCCCTCACGACCGTCCCTCTTGTAACCATTGAGCCCCTTTTGTTGCTCTGCCAAAAGAAAGCTTTCAACCAGATCTGCGCATTTCTACTCTCATTGTTTGGCCCCTTTGGCTTTGTACCCACACTGATTTTACTCAATGTGAGTTTGAAGCCCAGCTTCCATGTCCATGCCCCCTTTGCATCCCTCTTGATCTGTAGCCTCCCAGTGCTCCCAGTAGATGTGATCCATGCCACGGTTCACGCCGTAAGGCACATTGATCTGACACAGGAATATAAGTGTTAGAGTGTGTTTGTGTAAAGAACTCAGGGGTCTCTGATGTGGCAAACAACCATCACATACTGTATATGTGAGTCCGAGGCTTGCATGTATTTATTAGAAAAAGCACTTATGAAACTCTGTGTCCACATTTGGTAGGTTGAAAGTATATATAATATATGTACGTTTATTTAAACATGAAGCTTCTACATGCCGTCCCTTTTTTCAGTTGTTGTTTTAGCTTCATTTCAAAAAGGGGTCTTTTCATAAAATAAAGGCAGAGTGGAATATGTTGGGTAGAAAATGAACATTAAAAGTCTGCTGAGACTGAGGGAAAACTATAAACATTGCTGAACTGCAGTTGCAAATATATTCCACATTAGTCCAGTAGTGAAAGTACTTATGAGTATTTTGAAATGATAATGTACAGTGAGTACTTTTAAAGTCTGTTTTAAGGGGTCAGAAGCTAAAATGGTAGTACAGGTTGTATCTTTGAAAATGCATCATATTTTACACAGCCATATGTTTTGAATGCAAAATGTATTCTGCAAAGTAGAACTATAGTCAGATACATTTTGTTTACTTAGAAGTATAATAATCACAACGTAGAAAATGCAAGTACGATGAAATACCTACAATCAGAAATGAACAGATTTGATAAAAAATGTATGTATCTCGGAAGATTTCTAAAAGTCTTGAAATATTGCCATGAGTTTGAAATACAAGCTGTTTGACAAAAGGAAAATAAACACACACAGTTGTAAGCTCACCTTTTCTGTGGACCTTGAAGTGCCAAAGAAGATCGGGATGAAAGCTAGCCATATGATGCAGGTGGTGTACATGGTGAAGCCAATGGGTTTGGCCTCGTTGAACGTCTCCGGCACTCCTCTGGTTTTAATGGCGTAGACTGTGCAGGTGACCATGAGCAGCATGCTGTAGCCCAGCAGGCAGATGAGAGACAGGTCAGAGATGTCACACTTGAGCACACCGCGAGCCATCGTCGGGTTAGACGTCCGCTGGTCCTCATAGTCTATAATGGCCTTGGAGGGATCCACGCCGAACCATATGCACACCCCGAGCAGCTGCACCGAGGCCAGGCTGAAGGTGATGACCAGCTGGGAGGCGGGAGAAATTAACTTGGGCGCACTGATAGACATGCTCCCCTGCTCGAAGATGCGGTAAATACGATTGGTTTTGGTGAGCAGGGCAGCATAGCTAATGCTCATGCCCAACCCCAAGAAGATCCTTCGGAGGGAGCAGATTCCAACATCAGGGGTGGAAATCATCAGGAACGTGGTGGCGTAACAGAGGAAGATCCCCGTTAGCAGCACGTAGCTGAGCTCCCGGCCTGATGCTTTCACAATGGGAGTGTCATTGTAGCGGACAAAGGTGACCACCACAAACACGGTGGCCATGATGCCAAGGACCGCGATGAGCACGGGGATGACGGCCCATGGGGAGCTCCACTCTAGCTTGACGATGGGGATTGGAACGCAGCCCGTGTGATTGACGTTGGGCCGCAAATCAAAGCGGCACATCTTACAGGTGAAGGTGTCCGCCTGGTACTGATAGCCGTCGCAGCGCTCACAGTGCCAGCAGCACGGGATGCCCTTCACCACCTTTTTGCGCTCGCCCAGCTGACAGGGCAGGCTGCAGATGGAAGACGGGATCTGACGGACACCGCCGGGCCACTGCATGGAGCGGACCTGTGAGGGAGGCAGAGGGACACAGATAGATGTTAAAGGTCACCTATTGTGCAAAATTCATTTTTTCATGTCTTTAATACATTAACATGTACTCTGTGAAAAGAGATTCTGAGAGTCTCAGGAAAAAAGACCCCTTCTCTTTTTGTCCTGATCCATTTATATAAAAACCTGTCTGAAAATGAGCAGATCAGATTTTGGCCACTTTATGATGTCGTGACGTTTTTTTGGGTTGTGTAACCATTAGCCAATCACCAACCAAGGTAACCCCCCCCACCACCACCTTATCACCTGAATCTCCTCCTAGAGCACCATTGTATTCTTTTTAACCAAACATCTCTCAGAGGGGCGTGGGGAGTGGCTCCTTATTTTTATCTAAAGTAACGGACAGAGAATCAGCACTTTTGAAACAGGGCTGAAACAGAGGGATTATGGGATGCTACAGTGATGTGTTTGGTATTTAGAGCCAAACACTTCAGAGACATCTTCTGTATATATCTGAGACCTATAATATATTGATGAAAAACTGAAAAATAGGGAACCTTTAATAGACGCAGAGAACAACAAAGATAGAAGAGAAGAGATTTGTGGAGTACTAAACTGTCATTCTATAAACAGTGGCATGTAGAGATAGTGATGTGTTATTGATCCCCTGAACCTCTGGAGATTAACGACAATCTTGACGCTGGTTACTTCCTGTGTGGTTGTTTGATCCTGGCCTTAAGCACCAGTGTGTATGCTCACATGCTATTTGTTTTTTTTTATTTGGGTGGGGGTGGGAAAGGGCAAACTAGGGGGTCAAATAAAGCGTTTTCATCGACGCAACACTTTCCAGTGGGAGGTCAAATTATACAGAGGGCAAGACCCGAGAGGACAAATGTAATATATTGTTTGCTCCGCAGGGAACTGACACCGTGTTTCAATTGTTTTCCCATTTTGTAAATAGTTGTTCGTGTTTAAAGAAAAATCTGTACTTAGCCATGATCAGAGCAATAAAATATTAATTCTGTTTCAGGATTACTACTCCCCTTGTGGATTTTCCCCTTGTACAAGCACACTTGTAAAGATATATTACGTCATTTCAAACGGGTCGGCTCTCTTTGAAGTCATGTTATCAATTATTTTCAATTGTGGTTGTTCATTCAAAGCCGGTAAATGTGCCTCTAAATGTGCATTTAATTAAGAACTCAAAGAACAGTAATTAAATGCGGCTTTAGAGCTGGCACGTTCCACAGTGGGTGCCCACCGCAAACGCTGCTTTTCTTCTTCCACAGCACGTTGTTGAAGGTGCAAAGCTCCTCTCAAACGGCCTCATGTATTCATTTGTACTCTTTTTTTATATTGCCTGCCCAAGGCTTCCTCTTCATTTTGTCAAAAACATTTCTTGTTTGGTTCCTTCATTCAATTTACTGTTATAACACTGTTACTTCATCATAGCCCCATGCCCACAGTATTGTTTTATTTTGGAAGTCAGTGATGCCGTCTGGAGAGATGATATTAAATATGTCTGTCCTTAAGCTCTCATGGCTTTCTTTTCATCACAGTCCGCCCTGTTAATCATTTAAAGCGCCCTCTGGATATTTACACCTTTGAAGATGGCACTAAGCGTAATCAAATGGTTCGGGTGGAGTTAGCGAGCAAACACAGCTGAAAAGCCGGAGAAAACAACTTTGCAGAGATAGATTTTTCATTGCAAACACTAAGGCAAACATTAAGCGTGTAGACTTAATGCCGTCAAGCCCTTTGTGTTGCTTTGAGGTGGCATGGAATAAATAGGTAAATGCTCACGTTGAGATTGAGTTGATCCGTCCATTGGCCGATTATTTTGTATTCGGCTGTTTGGTTTCTGATCTGGTATTGGTAGATCTCGTAGCGTCCGGGAGCGTCTCCGTTCTCATTGAAGAGCACTGGGTTTGCAGCTATGCCTAAATGAGAAAACAATCATCATCACCAACATTTACTGCACATCATGGTGTTATTTCCTGTGTGGTGAGCATGAGTCTGTGAGGGCAAACTAATGTGTTGTCATTGAGACTGCAGTTGTTATTCCACTACATTTGAAACCAAAATGATGCTTGTGAGTCAGACGCATGTTTTCCTTATCATTTAGCAGAGAACATCCACTCAACAACTGTTTTCTTTTAAGAATAATTATACACTAGACATTATGTTCATCAATTATTATGTTGAGATGTGTGTGTGTCTTGAAGTCGGGGTGGTAAATCTACGCAGAGCTTGTTTAATTTCCTGCCAGAGGCTTCTGTTGCTGTCCTTTCACATACCAAAAATGAACGTTAGCTTTCACCCAGTTTATTTTCCTCTCACTGATGACTCTATCCCCTGATTTTATAAACAATTATCCGCTCAGAGCTCTGTAGGTGGGATACAGAATGGGGACATTATCTTCCTACATGAGTATCTCGCAACCTAGTTACATCCATGAAAAGTAGAGATAGAATATTTTCCAAAAAACGGCGACAAGCGTGGAATGAGATTGACACAGTCTGGCAGGGTTTTGAAACAGTGATTCATAAGCGTTTTGTTTTTCGAGTGTCGTGAAAAGTGTTAACTGCTTCTAACAACCCAGCTTTTGTGGATGCGACATCAATTGCCCCTGATTGGATAGAGCAAAACAAAAGATCCCTCCTCCCAAAAAGGCCTTTATTTGAAAAGCAAGCATGCCCAAAAGACTCATAAAGCTATTGATATAATTATACAGTAGCAGCAGTGTTATGCTGGTAGTGTTGCTGCTTTATTCTCTTAAAACCACCAGTGAGGCGTTCAGGGTCCATTTTCCTCTTTCAGTGACAGTGGTGTCCATATGAGCAATTACAGGCTTGAACACATAACCCAAACCATGACAGTGGATGTCTGATTGCTGAAGAGCTTTTAAAACCTGAGGAAATTGGAGGAAAAAAAGCAGACAAAGGCAGAAAAGATTGGCACGATTACATTTTTTGATAGAAAGTGTGACAGCTTAGCAATAGTGTTGATGTGCTTAATATTTGTATGTAAACATAATGCCTCTCGGCTTTATAGAGTCACTGTAATCCTCCCATGATCACCAACTGCTTTGTGATGTGGGCGGCATTGTCACAGATGCGAGGCGGAGAGAAGCGATAATCCAGCAGCCCTGACTCATCGAGATGTGGATTAGAGCGCGGCTTCCTCCAACGTTGAAACAAAGAGCAAGAACAACAAAAAAATACCCATCAGCAGAAATCAATCAGCAGCAATTGGCTACGTTTAACTTCTCTTTTTTCCTTTATTTACCGGGATGCATTCTGTTGTTCGCGGCTTAATAATGAATCAGCTTTCATTAGTACTTGAAGATATAGAGGTTTGTTAAAGTTGATTCGATAAGCATTTAGACAGGAAGTTCCTTACTTCTCCCTCTAAGGACAACCTATTCACGTTTTACTTTGATTACATGGATCTATGGACCGAAAGCGAGAAATCTTTGGTGTGATTTTCTTGGTGACACATCATAACCACTTTTCTTGAAACGGCACACGTTAAAAATATTATTCTACTTCAAAGTCACATTTGTTTTTTTTACCATAAGATGTACTAAAGGTGTTGGCCCATGAGTAATTCTTTTTAAAACCATATTTTTTCGCTAATTTTTCGTCTGGTTTATAAAAACTGTTGTTCATAAACTGCACAGATTATACAATGCTCTTGCTTTTGTCTGATAGTAACGACAAAGTGAGAAAAACAAGTAATCAACAATAACATCCACACACTGAATACAGGACTGATCACGCTGTTCCAACACCAGGAGATTTCTGGGAAAAGCATTGCTCCTAAAATACAACAATATGTGCTTATCACCAAATATTACCACTCAAGTGCCCCATGACGTTGTAGTTTGTGTGTGACAGCAACATTACTTATTATTTCCTCCTAACACAGCACAATGAGACCGTTGTATGTGAGGACAGCTGAATAATTGGAATACTTCTCTTATTGCAATTTTCACATTTGGACAAGTTATCAGATGGTATTGTGTGCTCTCATAGCTCTCCAGTGGTATCCATAATAGTACAACAAAGGTAAAGCACAAATCTGTCTTCTTTGTCTTCAGTGCCAAATGAAACATAATGAAAACTATAAAACAAATATGAAAGATATATTGTAGGTTTTAATATTTCCTTCATGAAAGGGTTGAATTAAGTTACTATTTGTTTGAGTTAACACTTACTGTAGGTGTTATAAATTCAAAGCCCACCCACATCTATGCTCCATCATAGGATGGGATTTAATGTGCAACATCAGGGCAGGAAGTGTTGAGTTTCATTGAAGGTAACTTAATTAGAAAATAAAGTGGATGAAAAAAGTATTTCCGTTACAGAAGATACACTTAGAGCAGTGCGTTTGACATGGTGTGGCGTGAATGTACAGATAATCCTGCATGTATCAAGAAAGCTAGGTAAAGATAACTCTTCTTCACATTCAAAAAAATATGTATTTAAATAATGTGCTTCTTCAAAGGGGACCTATTATGCAAAATACACCTTTTCATGTCTTTACATCAAAATGTGTCCCTCCTGTTTAAAGAGATTCTGAAAGTTTCAGGAACAAAGACCCCCTCTCTTTTTGTCCTGATCTATTTATATAAAAACCTGTCTGAAAATGAGCTGATCAGATTTTGGCCACTTTGTGATGTCATAACAATTGTTTGGCTTGTGTAACCATTAGCCAATCACCAACCAAGGTAACCCCCCCCCCCACACCTTATCACCTGAATCTCCTCCTAGAGCACCATTGTGTTATTTTTAACCAAATCTCTCTCAGAGGGGCGTGGGGAGGGGCTCCTTATTTTCATCTAAGTAACAGACAGAGAATCAGCACTTTTGAAACAGGGCTGAAACAGAGGGGATTATGGGATGCTACAATGATCTGTTTGGTATTTGGAGCCGAACACTTCAGAGACATGTTTGTATATATCTGATGAAAAACAGTCAAATAGGGGACCTTTAAATTGTGACAAAGTGTATACTAAAGGCCGCTACACACCAACCTGAGACCAAAGAACGCGTACCGAAGGCGTCCCCACTTTTACGTCCGCTACGTCGGCTATGCC